GGGAACCGAACTCACGACCTTGCGCTTGCCAGGCAGGCGCTTTGCCGCTGAGCTAAATCCCCAGCCCCCTCAGAGTTTTTTTTTAAGCTAAAGATTGAGAATTCCAGCTGGAAGACATTGTAAATTCAAATATGGAGAGTGAGAGTAAACATTACCCCAGACGCTGTGCGCGGTGCTGGCAGAGATCCTGACAGTGAGGATACATACGGATCCTTTGTTGGTTATCTGACAAACTAACTGCAGGGCCAGCAAACATCCCAGGTCTGCTGAACTCCTCTCCTTTTCACAGGGTCTGGTGTAAAGTAAGTTTTCAACAAGTGTTTGATGTCATTAAAATAAGTTAAACAAACACTTATTGTAATCATCCTATGTCATCGTCATTTTTCTAACAGACTGTTTTCATTGTTTTAAGTTTCTGAAATTCATGTTTGCAAACCCCGTGTTTCCACTGGCAGATGGTTCCTAAAGAATTATCCAGGAAGCTGTGGCCTTTCCAGGAAGAGGGATTGGACAGGCTCTTATCAGATCGGTATGGCTGAGTTGGAAATGTAGTGTTGTCAGGGAGATAATGGTGTTCTACCTCCTAATTTTATCTGCAGGCTTGGCACCAGCTGATGGGAATTCCTGTCTTGCCTCTGCCCCTGACTGGATTTAGGGAAGTCACGTGCTATCTGTACACGTGTGCTTCCTTGCCTGTGAAGTGAGAGGTCTTACTCCAGGGCTGTAGATGCAGGTCCCTGCAGGGGCAGCCCGGCACACAGATGCATGCAAGGCCCATCTGCAGGAGGGCCTGAGGCCATTGTAGGGATGGCAGGGATTTAATGATAGGTGAAAAAGCCCAATGTAGTTCAAGTTAAACATTTTGTGAGCCTAGTGTGGCCTGTAGGCTGCCTGATGTAATTTTTGGTTAAAATATTTTTTGATTTCCCTTAAAACGCTGTAAAATTAAATGAAGTTAGGAAGAATATGAATACCTCACACAAGAGCAAACAGTAAACATTTTTCATCAAATGAGTGAAATTTATACACATGCGCGTATGTGTATATCTGTATATTCATGTGTATGCATGCAGACATTTGAGGTGTTTTCCATCTGAATATATATGTATATGTATATGCACACACATATGTAAGTACATACGTATCCACTGGATAATGAAGTATCTAGGCTATACCTTCCTTTATCTTCACCCTTATCAACAACCCTATATCCCTATATCTCGACACATGTTCTTTAAAAAAATGTAATTTTGCCAGTTTTAAGTTCAAATGACACTTTTAAAAAAAGAATTGGAATGAATTATGGTACCCAGGCCCTAGAACTAATCAGTAATTGACTATTAACAAGTTTTTTGCTTTCTGAGGTGAGATAGCTTGATAGTTAGGAACAGGGGGCTTTGAAGTCCATTCTTGGTTCAAATGCGGCCTCCACAACTTAAAACTTGTATGATCTTGGTCCTCCCTGTGCCCTCTCTGTGCTAGTACTTCCTCATTAGTAAAATGATATGATAAAACCAACTTTAAACCTCGTCAAGAGAACTAAATGAAATGAGGTCTGTAAGTCTCTTAGCACTGCTTCTTTTACTGTAGATTTCTAATGTGTGGTGGATCCCATTAATGTACACAACAGTGGGAATTCCTGATCATAAGGACATAAGCAAGAGGAATTTGGTAAAAATGTTTGGAAAAAATTAAGCCAGAATTATGAGCAGAGGAGCAAAAGCCAATATGGAAACAGAGGCACATAAAAGGCATTATTTCTACCAGCCCAGAATTAGAGGGAATTAGTAGTCATCAGAAGACCTAAGTTTGGGATTCAGTGTTGCTGTCTATAGGCTCCCTGGGCCAACTCTTAATGCTCCTTCCACCTCTAATCTATAGAAAGAAGGTTCTGACAGCTGCCCTGCCTGCACTTGAGTGCTCTTGGGGAGATCTGAGAAAAGGGATATATATGCTTTGTACACTAGACAGAACAACATTAAAAACATCATTGTTAGATCCGCGTTAGGCAACTTATCAAACTGAATAATTACTATAGCCAGAAGCAGAGTCTTTCAGATCCCTCTGGGGCATCAGCTCCTTCCATTCTGCTAGTGGTAGCCAGGCACCCTCTATCGAGGGTTGACTAGGTTCCCGGCATTGTGTATTTTGTCTCTTTGACTCCTTTTAATATTTACGAACATCAGGCATTCTCATTATCCCCATTATACAGTTGGGGAAGCTGAAGGTCACGCTGGCCAAAAGCAGGTGGGAAGATATGTAGGGATCTTCTGGCGAAATGGCTCATTCTCACATGCTGGTCTGTGGATTTGGGCCAGCCAGGACCAGTGTTTACATGACAGTGGCAAAATCAAACCAGAACAATACTGAGCTTTCCAGTTTTCCATGAGCTTCAGTTATTAAATTTTGGGGACATATCCTGTATTCTGAGAATATCTTCCTTAGGCCTTTAATGCATCTTTTCTCTTACAAAGTAACGATGAAAGTGAGTGGCAGTTCCTCATTTTTGAATGTCTTAGTTTGGCAAAATGAAAAGCCAGTTACTTTACCCCATTCCAGATGGTTCATTTTTCAGGCCAGGAGGGAATTTTACTAGTCTGTAGCATTTAAAGGCTGGGGTCCCCCAAGTCTGCACTACACTAGGGGAAAGCTCAGCTGGTGATGCTGCCTACATTTGACCTGTGTGCTGTTTCCCACAGGCAGAGGAAGATGTAAGACTTGCAGGGATTATGAGCGGGAAGAAAAGGATGAACTGAGTTTCCACCAGGGAGAAAGCATCGAGATCATTGGTTTCGTGATACCCGGACTTCAGTGGTTCATTGGGAAGTCAGTGAGCTCAGGAGCAGTGGGCTTTGTCCCCACCAGGAACATCGATCCTGATTCCTACTCCCCACTGTGAGTATGGCAGTGAGTCTGTCCTGGAGCTGGGCTGCCTCCACCAGGGCTTCCTTTCCTTTGAGAACTGTGCACACGAGCTGTACATAGGAGTGCTCTGGGAATGCCAAGCCAAGGAAGCAAGTTACAGCAGCCAAAGCACATAGAATGGAGGGAGGAGGTGTGGGTGATTAGAGAACGAGGCAGTTTGGTTCATTCAACAGTGGGTCACTGAAACTTTCCTTTGCAGGGAGAGAAGCACAGCCCCAAGGAAAAAGGCCTTCTGTTAGGCACCAAGGGTGTGTCTTTGGTACTTAGATCCTTCCATTCACCCTGTCCAACCAAAGGCCCCATCAAAGGATGGAAACACAGGAGCAATAGATTACCAGCTCGGTTCATGGACAGGCCCCTCCCATGTCGGTCAGAGAGATAGGTTCCATGGAGGTTGCAGGTTTGTCATTGATGCTAAGCATTGAATGTGGGAGGTCAGTATTGGCTAGGAGAGCAGAATGCATCTTTTACCCGTTTTCTCCTAAATCTAGGAAGGTTGCTTGAGAGGAGCAACCCCATCCTCTGGACCCAGTGGCAGATGTCAGTTCGCTCTGCCCATTCTGTCAGTCATAGGAAGGTGAATCCCAGTGTTGTGCAGTTCCTCTGGGTGAGCTTCCTGCATGTGATGGGAAACAGTAGAAAGCCTAGGTCTAGAAAGTACAAGGGGAAGCAGAGTGGGCACCTCCTTGTGAGACACACTGAGAAGATGTGGCCCACGGAATATCTAAAGCTCTCAACATTCCAACTAGAATTCGCCTTCCTATGGGAAAGAGTCAATGAGGAGTGGACCAAGGGATAGAAGCTCCCGCTATGCCCTACTCTTCATGAGGAGAGGAGTTAGGGGCCCTCTTCCTTGTGCAGAAATGTGTATCCCAAATCCCACAAAGCGGGAGGACCACTCACTGAGCTCCTGCAGAGGTGTGGAGGGCTGTGGGGACTTGTAAGGAAGACAAGAGTATGGAGAGGACATTCACAAAAGGGGATATTTGAGTAAGCTTCGCACACTGTAAGATATTTTAACAGATGTAAGAAGGAAAGTGAGAGCTACTGGAGAAATGACTCATGTCCCTGGGAGGGAGGTTCCAGGAGCTGTGAGTACAGCAGACCAAGGCGGGACCTTTCCTGATGTGGACGGCTGTGCAGGTTCTGTCCTTCACCTTGCAGAGAGCGGGAGCCCCAGAGTGCGTCTGAGCCAGGCAGACATGTTATAGCATGGCACTTTTCTCTGGGAAGCTAAAGCTGGCTTGGGCGAGGCAGGCATCCGTGGGGTAAGGGTGGCTGCAGGAGACTGGAAGCTAATGATGAGCGTGAGGGCAGCACCTAGGAGGAGGAGGAGCTGCTGTTGGAGGTAAAGATTCTGGGAGCTTCACAAATGTGGAGAGCTGAGTTGTACCCCACAGGCTCTTACCTTACTGGTCTGGGTGGAGCCTGGGAGCCTTTAATATTTATTAAAGCTCTCTGGGAGAGGCTGTAGCTATCAGGGTGAGAACCAGAATGCCTTACTTTATTGCAGCGGGAAGGGAGGACTTAGGAGTGAAGGGGCTGAACCTAAGCTTTGGATCTGAAGCCCAGAATCTTAATGTTAGATGCACAGGTCTGCTGCTGAGGTTCTGGTGAAGGGAAAAAGGATGAATAGAACAGAGACTTAGTAGGGAAAACCATTCCAGAGCAGAGAAAGAATGAGCACAGCCAAGGAGACCACAAAGCTCCCTGAGAGGAAGGAATATCCTTGGAGGAGGAGGAGGTAGTTAAAATTAACATCATTGCTTGCCTCCGTAGGTAAAGCAGGGCCACCTGAGGAAAGGCTTGGCCATTGGAAGGTCATGGGAGGCAGCATAGCTTAAGGGTTTGCAGAGTTGTGGGGTTAGACTCCCCCCAAAGCATTTGTGACCGTGTGAGTGCATCCCATATCTCCAGTAGCTTATCAGCCCATATCTCCGTAGTATGAATTTGGACACATTGAGTTCCCTCTGTGCCTCAGTTTTCTTATTTGTGAAATGTGTATAATGTTATACCTGCCTAATAGGATTGTCATGAGTGTAAATGAGCTGATACACTGAAGCACTAGAATGGTGCTGGCACGGGTGTGTCAATATATCTTGGCATTGATTGCATTCTTGTCATCAGTGTGAGTGTTTTTGATAGTTGGTTTTAGTAGAATATTAGAGTTCATAAATTATATTTGGACTTTGTTTTCTTCAATCAGATTTTATTGGCACATTTTAGATATACATCATGATCACATTCATCATAGAGTTTGTGATACTGGGACTTTTGCGCTTCACACGTTGTTCCACATGACAAAACTCAGTTCCATTAAGTCAATTTAACCATCGGGCTTTAATAGCTTAGTTGCACGATCTTCATTCTTACACTGAAGAACAACATCTCCACTCAGTCCTCATCTGCAGTGGCGTCTATTAGCCTTTGCCTGTGGGATCCAGTGCATCAGGGGCTGTAGAGTTGGTAGGAAACGGGAAAGTTGGTAAGAAGCAGGAAGCAGGGAGGGGAGGACACAGGAGAAGGGAGGGGAACAGAGTCCTTGTGTACCCTCCCTAGCACTCTATGGACTGTAGATGTCCTTAAACCATGGCAATTTAGGAGTGGACTCAGTGTCGAGAACTCAAGCCTCAGGCAGGTACTGAGGTCTGCTGGGTACCGTCCCTGTGCAGTGCCCATGACTGGCCACTGGGTGTCACTCCGAGTCTGTGTTCCTTTGCTGTTGGGTTTCTGAAGAAGTCCTCAGCATTTGCTGAAGTCTCTGTCCTCTTCCTATGAGTTCTCTCCATGTGCTGATAAATTCTTCCAAGAAATGTGTGAGTGTGAACATGTGTATGTGTAACTGCGCATGCGTGTGTGACTTCAAACCACACTCTCAGTATAGAGCAGAACTTCTCCAGAGGCTGCCTTACTGCAGCCGATTTACACTGTGCTTGGCAACACACGGGAAGATCTTATTGTCCAAGGAGCAAATTTATGATTCCTTTTCTTTGGCACAGATTTTAACACCAACTACCTAGTTTAACACCAACTTCTTAGCAATAGCAGCTGCAAAACTAGTTCTTAAAACTTGCAGAAAGCATTTTGTGCAAATAGACATGGTGTTGTTTGGGTTTAGCTTAAATGACTTTGGGGATCTTGGAGATTTTGAAGGTGATGGAATAACATAGTGCGTGTGTGTGTGTGTGTGTGTGTGTGTGTTTTAAGAGGGAAAGCAGAATTTAGATATAAGTAAGATATGTATAATTGAAGATCCCTTTTTATCCCTTCTTGCTTTTTATCTGATCTTAATTCCCACTCCAGAGGCAAATGCTTTGAGAAGTTGGTATGTAACTCTCTAATATCCTGATACTCTAATATCCCTCCTTATCCTGATACTGTTTTAAAGACAGTTTTTTTGTTTATAAGTAGAAACCTATGATTTAAAATTGTATATATTTCTTCATAATTGCCTTTTTTGGTTAACATTGTAAATTTGGATTTAATCACACTAACGTAGATATAGAAAATTTTAATAAAATGTTACTTAAAAGAGATTTGTACACAAGGGGATGCAGACATTAAATTAAAAATGAGTAAGACTGATTAGTGCCCTCAAAAGCAGCAACAAAGTAAACCTAGGAGAAAACTTAGTATTTCATAGTATTAAAAGTTTTAAAATTCTTTTGCTATATCCCTTCTTTTAGTCTTCATATTGTTTTTGTGTGTCTTCTTTATAAATTTATTTCTTATGATGACATCTATTTTTGCTGATGAGAATTTTGCTGTTAATTTCATAGCTATTTCTTTGCAGGTTGGCAGGTTTTTCTTGCTTTTAAATTTTTTTCCTTTTTCATTGATGTTTTAGAATTATCACATCTAGATGTGATATTGTATTATATGTTTATAGCAAATTACTTACCCCTTTCTTCAAAAAGTATATTTTATAGTAGTTACATATTTCAGTGAAGACCTGTGAGTTATAAATACAGTATTTAGAGCTTGTTTGGTTTAGGGGCATTTTATTTAAAATATACTCTTGAATAATTTAGCTAGGCATGTAGTAACATCTTAAACTGGGAGAAGTAACTGTTAATATAAAGTAGTAAGGCTGGGGTGGGGATATAGCTCAGTGGCACAGCACCTGTCTGGCAAGTGCAAGGTTATAAGTTCGATTACCAGTACCAAAAGAAATAACAAGACTATTTTGCCAGGATCTTATATTTGTCTATAATATTAGTTTTTTCAAAGGAGTCATTTATTTTTTATAATTATTAGGTTAATTAAAACATTTCTTTGGATTATTTTCTATTTCTTAATTTGCTTTTATTTCATTAGTTTATGTTTTTCTCTTATTTAATTTTTCACATCATGAATTTGAACAGTTGATTAATCTGAACCCAGAAAGTAGAACTAGGAGAGACAGACAACTTGCAAAGACCTATAACCTTAAGAAATGGGCATCCTGTTAACAATGATACTGTTTTTATTTATTTTGCTCAGGACTTGATGTGCTTCCTCAGTCTGAAGACTCATGTCTCTCTTCAATTCTGGAAAATTCTCATTCTCTTCTGAATACTGCCTTTCTCTTATCCTTTCAGTCTCTCTTCTGGAATTCCTGTCAGAGGTATGTTGGATGTATTCTGTCCTTAACCTCGCTTAATATGTTCTTTCTATTCATGTTTTTGTCACTCTGGGTCATATTCTAGGTGATTTCCTCAGAATGATCTTCATTTCACTAATTCTCTCATCCGTTATGACTAAACTTATGGCTTGACTCATTCACATTATCCTTCATTTCCATGCCTTTATTTTCCATTTCTTGAACTGGTATTTCTTTTTTTTCTGTGTATGGTTATTTCCTCTCACAGTGTGTCATCTTTTCATTCTATGTTCTATTTATTCCATTGTTTTAATCACGCTTATTCTTCAGATTGTTATTATTAGTTATACATTAATTTACTGGCTTGTGCATATGCTGGATTTCTTTGTGGGCGATTCCTTTTCTTAATTTTTATATTTGGGTTGTATTTTTTGTTATGTGAATGAAGTTTCAACATTTTAAAAGACAGAATTTGCATAGACCCCGGACTGAAGGAAACCTTCTGCAGGGTAGGTTTTGTTTTTGCTTCTCTCAGAATCTACAAGCTCAGAATTGGGGATTACATATATATTTGTACTGCAGATAGAATCCAGGGCCTTTGCACTGAAGTGTATCCCAGAATCCCTTTTTAACTTTGATACAGGGGTCTTACTAAGTCACCCAGGCTTGCAACTTGCAATCCTCCTGCTTCAGCTCCTAGAATGCTAGGATTACAGGTTAGCATCACCAGGCCTGTCTCTGGGACTGATTTGTAATGTTAAGTTCTCTGAATGTGGTACCTACACTGTGTGTGTAAATTCAGATTTCCACGTTCTGATAGTGTAGGTATATGTTTAATTTTTTTCCTAGGAACTTAGGTAGACTAAAAGCAACTTCTTGGCAAGTAGTAAGATGTTTTGCAATCAGCCCTTTAAGCAAGTTGCTGCCTTTCTAGACTCTAAGTTTTATGAAGGGAGCTTAACCTAGCTCCCTGCTTCACATAGGCCCATGGTCACATCTCCTGTTCCTGGGGGTCACTACATGGTGAACCCCAGTTCTGAGAGCCAGCGTCTCAGCTGAAACTTCCAGGGTCTCTGGGGCATCTGTTGTCCTGCCCAATCTGGATTTGGTTTCCACTTTTGTTTCTGTATCTTATATATTTGCTTTTCTTTCTTTAAAATTTAAGCATGTGTTAAGATATTCTTTGCTACATGTTATCCAGGTTTTATGTGAATGCATGCGTGTGTGTGCATGTGTATATGGGGAGAGTAGCCCTTTAGAACTTGTTAGCCTGCCAGAGTGCCAGAATCTCTGTCATATCTTTCTAACCCAGTTTTCACAATTGGAAACCCACAATATAGTTTTCAACCTTTTGGACTCTCTCTAAATACCTGAAAGTCAAGACCTTAGCACATCGGCTCTGTGGCATTGGATATAGAGGAGTAAGACCTCCATTTCAGCCTAAGTTTCACTACTTTCTGGCTGTGAAATTCTGAACATGTCACTCACTGAACCTTTCTGAACCATTTTCTTCATTTAAAACATGGATTTAAAACCTATATCTCAGAATTGTAACAAATAGTGAATGAAATAGTAAGTTTCAGAATACTTCGTGAACTTAAGGGTCCCACAAAAATTCGGAAATATACAAATTTGGGAATATGCAAATATCCAACTGAGTTTAGTTGTAGATTTCAATTACGTGCTGTTTTGAGGCTGGAAGCTTTCATGGTTCCTGAGAGAATCTAGAGATCAGGCCAGGGGGGAGGGGATCAGTACATGTCTGGGGAGGAGCCCTGGGACAGACATCAGTCAGGACTTCCCTCTAGTGCCAGTTCTGCCACCAGTTAGGGTGTGACCTTGAGCAGCACCTGTGGATGCTAGTTCTCCATCATTGGCTTTCACAGTGCTTGTACTGAGCTAGAGGGACACATGGCAAGAGGCTGACCACAGTATCCCTCTCCTCGTCCCTTCCTGGCTTCTGCTATAGCTAGGGAAGTGCTCTTACTTCTTGCTGTACCACTTCCTAAACACCCACTTCATTTTGCTGCGCCTCTGTTTCTTCATCTGTAAAAAGGGGACAAAAATAATACCTGCCCTATAGAGCAGTTAAGGGAATTAAATGAGAGAATAATATGTGCGATTCATCATACGCTCTCCAAAATAGTAGCTGTTTTTAACTCTCAGATTTTCAAGGTAATTTTCTTCTCATAGGTTCTCAGGCTTAAAAAATTTCTGTTTAGAACTGAAAGTGTTCTCAAAACACGTTGAGTTACATACTGGACTAAATGCTTTCCAAGGCACTTCTAGATTTCAGAGTTTTAGTTCACTCCATACAATTTCTGAGCAATCCCACACAAATCTCTAGTAAGCAAATTCGTTTTAACTGTTAGGTTATACAGCAGGATAATATAAAAATCTGTTCTGTTTATGATCATTTCTTCCAGCCTCCAAACCTTCTACCTGCCCACTTCCTTCCCCTTAGCAGTTCCTTTCCTCTCTTAAGTCTGCATAATGCTGTTTTGGGACAGGCTATCAAGTCTCAAGAATTCTGGTCAAACTTCCTTCATTGTTCCTCTAGATTATGCCACTTGTTCCTGACTTTTTTCTAAAATAATTTAAAGAAAAAGACACTTCTCTTAATGATTCCTTTCCTTTTATATTTAAGGCAGCTGGTTCTTATTTCTCCAGCTATAAATGGTTACTAGGTGGCCTCAAAGGATGGGCAGGGATCTTTTTCTTGGGAAATGGGGTTTTAGTGGGAGGGATGGTTTTATCTATATTTTGTTCTACTTGGAAACCACATGAATCAGTTTTCCATGCATAAGGTTGGTACTAATAGCCCTTATTCTTTGGCAATAAAAATACAATTTGCACCTGTGAGATGAGGAGTCTGATTTCAGCAAATGGGTTGATGGCTTTTCTATTCTTCACTATACCCTCCTGTGGAGAGAAGAGGTGGCATCTGGAACTTTACACTGACATGTCTCTGTCCTCTGCCCCAATGCAGGAGCAGAAACTCCGCCTTTTTCAGTGATGAGGAGAGATGCTCTCTGTGGGCCCTGGGAAGCGACAGAAAAGCTGAGTGTGCCAGCTTCCTCCGCACACTGGCTCAAACCGACATCACGTCTGTCTACCGTCTCAGTGAGTGTTGGATCCTCATCCCCAGTAAAACCCCAGGCTCCTCAAGCCTAGGAGAGCATCCCTAACGAGAAAGAAAATATCTCTGAATCCTAATCCCCTTCAGGAATTTTGAGGTCATGAGCACTGTTCATTTAATTACCTGGACCGTATTTGATTAATAACATTTTGCTTTAGATTTCAGATAATTCTGGGGTTGTACAGAACATGTTGCCTAAAAATTATGAGGGTATGGTGAAATCAAACTGCTTGTACCATGAGAGGTCAGTTGTACGGCCTTTCCACTCTATCTTGGAATAGAACTTCTAAGTTGTGGCTGAAATTTGTTCTTTCAGAGGTGAACCAGGTACCTAATAGCAAAGGTGGGGCCATAGAATGTTACAACTTGGAAGGACCCTGGGTTGATTTCTCCTCTTATTTAATAGAGGCTCATGTGAATAAATGCCCAAGCTAGCTAGTCAGAGCAATCCATTTCACCATACTGCCCCAGACACAAAATGACGTTGGCAAGTTGGGTGCATTAATCTTGGAGCAATAGTGGTCCCAGTGCCTAGAACAGTTTTTGACAATGCCTAATTGACTGAATGAATGAATAAATGATCCTCATTTCCTTTATGGTTGGAGAGGCCCACCACTCTGGGTCAGGAGGTACATCTACACTCTGATGGTGGTTTGAGGAAGGATTCTTTGTCCTCTTCCTCTTCAGTGATGGTGATGTTTCCACTCTTGTGTTACCAGATTAAAAGGTCCACTTTTCATAGGTACAGTCAGAGGTTGTAGAGAGCAGGTTCCTAGGCAAGCTCTTAGGAACAGGGTTAGGAGGTAAATTTTCCCCATGCACAAGATGCCTTTGTGAGGAGCACATACTCTAGACAGCAGCTCTCAGCCCTAGAAGAGCTTTTTTTGTTTTTTTAATTATGATCAGATCAGATCCCTCTGTGAAGCTGAGCCAGGAAGCTGAAGCTATGGACCATGCCTGGTAGGTAGGGGCAGAGATCTTAGGCAGGACTAGAGATCTAAGAATCAAGGAATACTTGGGATATACAGTGGCAGGACCCAGAAATGGATGGCAGACTTGGATTAAAGATAATCTGCCTATTGGTCCATTGGTTGGGAGATCTAAGAACAGGCCCCAGGCAGCATGTTCTGCCCCGGGGCCAGGGAAACCCAGAAAGGGGCTGTGTTCTTCGTAAATTCTAGCTCTTCCGAGGCCTATGCCCTGGGTAGAAGTGCCTCTAATTCTTCCTCCCGTTTTGTGACTCATGCACTTCTTGTGCTCTCAGTGACTTGGTGCTGAGAGAAAAAGCTGCAGTAAGACTGGCATGAGCCCTTCAATATTGGAGAGCCCCAGGTGCAGGAATGGCTCTCCTAGCTGAATTCTTTAGCTGTCCCATCTTTGGGTGTGGAGATTCCTACCCTTCACATATAGTATCTGATATGACAGTCGCAGAAGAAACCTTCTGCAGAGACCAAGGAAAAGGCTGGATTTGATGAGGAGCCTGCTGGTCCTCAGTGTTCACTGGATACCTCACAGGGCTGCACTGACAGATGTTACTTTTCTGGGAGGAAGAGCTGGAGTCTTCTTTCTAGTGTCCCCTGTCCTGTGGGCTGGGAGTCTGGCCTTTGCTTGCAAAGCTCTACAGTGGCTGTTTAACTCACAACATTCATTTCTTCATTGCCAAACTCAAGGTATTTTCTGTGTCATTATCTAATATTGTTTTACATTTCTTTGTGGTATTAGAGATTAAGTTTACCAGGGCCTTTTCACTGAACTACGTCTCCAGCTCTTTTTATGTTGATACAGGGTCTAGCTAAATTGTCCAGGCTGGTCTTGAACCTACAATCCTCCTGCCTCACCCTCCCAAATAGCTGGGATTACAGACGTGTGCCAGCATGCCCAGCTCATTTTACTTTTGTGACATTACGAGGAGACATCATAAGTCACCTTGGTTTCTCTGACTGCCCCCCTTTTTTTCTACTTTCCTGGTTTTCCTTTCACTAGATGCTCTCCGCCAGGAGATGCTGGTGTTCAAGAGGCTCACTAACAAATTTCTCCTCTCCCTTCTTTCTGTTTTCCTTCCCGATGCCCTGCCTGTGCACCCACATTCAGTCCTGGCAGTTGGGCCAGCTCCTGGGAACTTGCTCTGAACTGCAGATCTGGTCTCTAGACCATTCTCTGCCTAGAGCTCTACCTCAAACTCAATATCTAAAACTCTACTCAAGACTCTTCTGTATTTTACCATATCCCACCACACCAGGCAGCAAAACTGGGACCTCACAGACATTTTTGCTCCTTTTCTGCACCATTAGTTCCTGCCCCTCAGCCTTGCCACCTTCAAAAGCAAGTGTCCCGCACACTGCATGTGTTACACTGATGTCTGTGAAGCAGATGACTGGGAAGTGGATGGAGGAAGAAAGAAGGAAGGGTGTGTACACATGGAAAGGGAGGCAGTGCTACATGCCACCAAGTTCTCTGCACCAGTAGGTCTATCCCAATTCTGTTCTAAACTCGCTGAGAGATTTGGGTACAACATCTCTCTGGCCCTCAGATTTTATCAACTCTTACATGCACCCTTCTTAATAAATACTGTTTACAAGTTTTCTTCATTGATTGAGTCTCACTCTACCTCAGTTCCCAATGGTAAAGTGTGTGGGTTAAACAGGATTAGGCCATGCAGCTCTCAAACTGATGTGGAAAAAGAAAATTCTGCCCGTTCCTTAAGGGTAACTGAAGCCACACCACAAAGCCTCCTAGGGTCACTGGCTTGGACCCTTGGTGACATTGACATAGTGGCCCATTCTAGCCTAACTCCAGTTCTGTCCTTCATCTCTACCTAGGTGGCTTTGAATCCATCCAGAATCTTCCCAGTGACCTGAGTGGTGAGTAGAAATCATGCAGAACCTGATCTTTCTGCCTTCGGGTCAGCACCCTTGTCCTCTGGCCAGGAGCTGGCACCTTAGTTGCAGGTGCTTAGGGTTGCCCAACTCTGCCTGTCCTTACAGCAACCCAGCCTGAAGGCTTCAGTGAGGCAAGGCCTGGCACAGCCAGGGAGGAACATCAGGCTGTGGGCTCCAGATGGTCCAGCAGCTCTGAGGACTCCAGCCTGGAGGAGGAACTCCTTTCAGTGGCTTCAGACAGCTATCACCTGCCAGAACCTGATGACCTTGATGACCCGGAACTGTTCATGGACCTACACACTAGTCAGGATGAGGAGGAAGCTGAGAATTTTGCCCCCATATTGGCTTTTCTGGATCATGAGGGTTACATGGACCATTTCAAGAGCCTGTATGATTTCTCCTTCTCTTTCCTCACTTCTTCCTTTTACTGCTTCTCTGAGGAGGATGAGCTTATGGCCTACCTGGAGACCTCAAGGAAGTGGGCTAAGAGGAGTCACATGACCTGGGCCCATGCACGGCTCTGCTTCCTCCTGGGTCGGTTGAGTGTCAGAAAAGTGAAGCTCTCCCAGGCCAGGGTGTACTTTGAGGAAGCCATCCACATTCTCCAGGGGGCGTTTGAGGACCTACCCCTGGTTGCTGCTTTGTATATCAATTTGGCTGCCATCTACCTGAGGCAGAGGCTGAGGCACAAAGGGCCAGCCCTGCTGGAAAAGGCGGGTGCCCTGCTCGCCTGCCTGCCTGACCGAGAGTCCAGTGCCAAGAATGAACTTGATGTGGTGGCCTACGTGCTGCGCCAAGGGATTATGGTGGGTAGCAGCCCGCTGGAGGCCAGGGCCTGCTTTCTGGCTGTCCGATTGCTCCTGATCCTAGGCCGGCATGAGGAGGTTCTGCCCTTTGCTGAGCGCCTGCAACTACTCTCTGGACACCCTCTTGCCTCCGATGCTACAGCCACCATCTTGAGTTTCTTGTATGATAAGAAATACCTTCCATACCCTGCAGTGGCCTCGGTCCAGCACCATGGTACTCAGAATGCCCATGGGATGCCTCTTCCTGTTTGGCAGGTCTCCCTGGTCCTCCAGAACACCACCAAGCTCCTTAGCATCCCCTCCTCAAGCTGGGGTGAAGTTTCTGCACTGGCTTGCCCGACTCTTAGCCAGGCATTGGCTGCCTGTGAGGAACAGACGGACTGGAGCACTCAGAGGGCCCTGTGTCTCATCCTGTCCAAAATGTACCTCCAATACAGGTCTCCTGATGGTGCCATCTACTACCTGAGCCAGGCCCTGGTCCTAGGGCAGCTACTGGGTGAGCAGGAAGCTTTTGAGTCTTCCCTCTGTCTAGCATGGGCCTATCTCTTAGCAAGCCAGGCAAAGAAGGCTTTGGAGATTCTAGAGCCACTGCTATGCTCCCTGAAGGAGACAGAGAGTGTCACCCAGAGGGGAGTGGTCCATAACCTCCTGGGACTTGCTCTTCAAGATGAAGACAGGGTGAGCAGGGCAGCCTGGAACTATCTCCAGGCCTTGAAAAGAGCTCAGGAGACAGGAAATGTGCATAACCAGGCGGTGACTATGGCCAATCTTGGCCACCTGACCCTTAAGGCTCAGCAGTCAGCCAAGGACTATCTCCTGCAAGCAATTCGACTCTATTTTGAACTCCAGACCGGCAAGGACACAGATATGGAGTTGGTACAGGTGCTCCTGTGGCTGGGCCAAGTTCTTGTGTCTGGACACCAGCTGACCCAGGGCCAGCTTTGTTATGAAATGGCACTGCTGTTTGGCTTAAGGCATCGACACTTAAAGAGTGAGTATGTCCTGTGCTGCTGGGAGCATTTGAGAAAAAGTATTGGGGCATGTTTTGCCCATGTCCTATTTCAAGACATCTCATTCAGGTCCCCATTTTATGTTCAGGTCAGCTTCAGGTCACCAAATCACTCTGCCATTTCTATAGCTCCGTGTCCCCAAATCCTGAGGCGTGCATCACTTACCATGAACACTGGCTGGCCTTGGCCCAACAACTCAGGGACCGGGAGATGGAGGGGAGCCTGCTGGAGTCCCTTGGGCAGCTCTACCGGAACCTCAACACAGCCAGGTGAGTTAGAACTGGGGATAGTCCCAGAAGCCCTGTTCCTTGTTTAAGGAGAGACAGCGTTCCTCCCCTTACAATGTCAAGTCCAGTGCACACGGTACATGCATAACATTGTGGAAAACAGCATGGACCCTATAGCCAGCACACAGTGCTGCCCACTGTTTGTTAGCTGTGTGGTCTTGGACAAGTTATTTCATTTCTCCAGGCCTCAGTTTCCTCATCAGTCAAAGGCAGATAAAAATGGCAACTATCTTAGAGTGTTATTGTGAGAATGACTTTGCTAAAGCTCGTGGAATACTTGGAAAGGTGCCCGAAATACAGAAAGGCTCCGTAATGTTAACCATGTCATTATTGCTGTGTGTTTCCATAACAGCCCACCACAGGGCTAGGGCTGAGGGTGCATAACTCAGAGAGGTGGCGGTTATACTCTGGTAGTGTTCATTACCTGAAGACAATTGCAACTTGAGAAAGGACACACATGCACACACACACATTGCTGAAAGCAGGGGTGTCAAATTTCATGTTAAAGTAAAGGTTTGATTGGGGCCTTACCTTTAGAATGAAATGGAAAATTATGAGATGAAGTTTATTTTCACCTATATAGAATATCTTAGAAAAAATATACAATGAAAGAAGCGTTGATTTTTTAGCTTAATTGTGTTGACATAATTATATAATAGCACAATAAGGCAGCCTTTGTTTTGTGATTGACTTTTTGGTGCTATCTTTAAAAAGCTTGCTGTTTGCAAAATTACACTAAAAAGTAAGTATAAAATTCCAAGACATCTTTTAACTCTTTGCTAGTCAAATGATTCTCACTTGAAGTACTTATCATTTGCTGCTAACGTTCTCTTCCTTGTTTCTTCACTGGGCGAAGGCTGTTCCCTGTTTGCCAGTGGGTAGCCTGTGGTTTTGTCCTCTTCCATGGATTTAAAGGATTCCAGGAAATTCTTCAGGGTTTGCAAGATTTTCAGTTTCACTTTATAACAGATTTTCCATTAGATTTTCCCTTATAATATGGAATTCATAGTTACGAGTAACTTCTGAAATAAAGTGGAGATACTTGTTAGGATTGAGCAGAGAAAGTATCTGAGAAGCAACTAATTACATGAGATCTTTTGCTTTAGGCAACATGGTAACCTTGGGAGCCTGGAAAATCAGATGATAAGTAATCACACAATGAACTAAGTAGCTCTCTCTCCGTATGTATGTGTGTGTTTCACTCCTCCTCTCTCTCTCCCTTGCCAATTCTTTTTCTTACAAAAATCAGACGTCCTCTAAACTTCCCACTGTCCTTGCATTCAGTGCTGCACTGCTGCATTTAAGGGCACAGGAGGGAGGCCTGCCTTGGCCTGCCCTACTTCCACCCCCAAACACTCTCAGAGTTCAGATATGTCTGGAGCATATCCAAAAGACAGGCTTAGTGAACCTTTGAGATCAGTCACATGCTCCTGGTGAGGCATCTTGGAATGAAGCTTTGGGAAGTTGGATTTTAAGGGATTTTAGTATGTGTCAGACTTACTGCCGCCTCTTGCTGCTGTGCAAGCTCAGTCTTAGGTTAATCCTGTTCCAAGCTGTCATCTGCCATCCTTCACACACCAGCACCCTCTCCAAGCCTAGTTGTCAAATACCTTTGAAATCCTGAAGGGGAAGCTGTAGAGAAAGCCCAGGATGCTACCAGTGTGAGTGTGAGGCCTTACTTACAACAGCGTCCAGAAGTTCTTGCAGGCGGACATTGTATTTAGCACAGAGCTAGACATGCACTTGTCTTTGGGTAGCCAGGTGTTAAATTAGTCACTGTCCACAAGCTCATGGCTCTGTGCTGACATGGCGGCTGATGATTGAGATGGAGAATGGGGAAGTTTCCCCAGGGGAGTCCCTGGCTCCTTTGCCCAGGGCTCAGGTAAGCAAGGAAAGGTGTTTGCAGCTTGGAGGTAGGCTCTGTGGTCCCTAATGACAAGGACAGTGGTCGGAATGCCAGCAGTGGAAGCTCAGATGCCTTTTGAGAACACTGACCTAAATAGTATTAGCAGAGCATAGAGCATCATGGCAGACACTCGCCAATAAGGAGCCAGATAATGGATAATGAGTTAGAATCTAGTGATTTCCAACTAAATGAAGAATGTAGGATTTTTTCTAAAATTAAATAGCTGCTTATGGTAAAACTACTAAACAAGCATTGATGATTGTAAGTTGAAAAACAAAGGCCTCCTGGCAACTTCACTTGCTCTCTACAAGTAACTATTTAAAAGTGCTACAATATTCATAAAGAAATATTTCATTGCCGTAAAGGTTCATACTGGATATGTATTTCTAAATTAAACATTAGATATCTTACACATAATATGCATATTGTTCTGTTGCTTGCTTTTTTGTTTAAAAATATCAGTATGAAATGATACTACGTTGATTCAGCATTTTATGACGCCACGGGAGCCGTTCTGATGTGTTAGGTACTGTTGCAGTAGCTGAATCCACTTGTTAGGTTAAAAAGATAAGAAGCAGTTGTTGAAAAATAGAACAGCCTGTCCTGTGTGAATGAGCATGGGGTCATTACAAGTATTCAGGCAGAGGCTGACTACTTAGGAACTTCTAAAACAGTTTCCTCAATTAAGCTGAATTTATATCTTCTTAGTAATAGCTTTAGTAAGGTATAATCATCTGCCATAAAAGTATAAGTTAGTGTTCAATATGGCATATGTTTTGGTATTTAGCATATTCCCTTAGTTGTGTACCCATCACAGTATCTAACTGCAGAAAATCATAGTGGCCATTCTTAAAAGCCCTGTACCTGTCAGCAGTTACTTCCCATTACCCATTCTCACCCCAGCCCTGGAAACCACTAATTTGCTGGGTGTTTTTATGGGTTTTCCTACTCTGGGCATTTGATATTAATAGAATCATTCAGCATCATTTCAGTATATGACTGGCTTCTTTCATTTGGTATGGCATTTTCAGGGTTTATTCATGCTGTCTATGTATTTCACTCCTTTTGGTTGCTTAACAGTATTCCATTGTATGGGTAGACCAAAGTCATTTATTCATTCCATAGTTGATTTAGTTGATAGATATTTAGGTGATTTTCATCTTGTTGCTATGATGAAAAAAATACTACTTGAAAATTTGCGAATAAGTTTTTGTGTGAAGACGTGATTTCTGTTCTCTCATATAGACATGGGTGTGTGGGTTGATTGAAATGTCATCCTGATTGGATTAAGGGATTTCTGGAGAGGTGTTGGTATCTGTCTGTATTGGAATGCTTAATCCATGTATATTTAATTAATTATAATCCATTTATATTTACTTTAATAATTTAATTATTATTAATTGGTAAGTTATGGTTTATGTAACTATTTTGGTACTTCTTTTTGTTTTCTCTTTCTGTGTCTTTCTGTGTGTGTCTGTCTCTGTCTGTCTGTCTCTCTATCTCTCTGTCTGTCTGTCTCTCTCATATGCTAGACAGTGAACCCAGGGCCTTGTGCTTGTTATGCAAATACCACTGAGCTATACCCCTATCCTTTGTTGTTTGTTCTCTATCTGGGCCACATCCTTTTCACTATTCAATTCTGTTACTGCCTTCTTTGGTGTGAAGTGGATATTTTCTAGACTACTGTTTTCGTTTCCTTGTCATTTCTCTTACTTTGTTTCCTTCGGCTGTTTTCTTGGTGTGTCCTCTGGGTTATGTCTCAACTTGTAGCAGTCTTAGGTATTTTCTGGGCACACACAGCCCTGCACATGCACATGGACTTCTCAACCCCTAGGAGTACCTGGGAGCATTTCAAGGCCCTTTATGGAGTCTCATCCTGTTTTTCCTTTTATGTTTTCTTTTGTCACCTTCTTGTTTGCTCCAAGTGTTTTCATTACTTTAGGAGAAAGCAGTATTCAAAATTGCTCTCAATGTTTTTGGACAATCACCAGGAAAAAAGGTGGTCTTCATTGAGGGAATTCTGAGTCAGGTCAAAGTTGAGTGGAGATGTTTAGACAGGTCAAATGGTGCCATCCAGGATGGTCACATAGGGGCAATTCCCTTACATGGAGCTTTGAGGGATAACAAACTCATGATGGCCCCTCCAGTGGCTGCTTGGATGCAGCTTTCCCCAGTTCCTATGATTGTGGGCTTTGGTTTACTTTTTTAATTTTTTATTTTCATTTTAAAGAGAGTAGTACATGAGAAACAAACACACAAACATAAAAATAGAACAGTAGCAGCATACCAGTATCATGAACATAAACAAATCAAAGCAAGAACATTCAAAGTGATACAAGGTCTCAAGACAAATTAATACAAATCAACAGTGGTTGTTACATTGCACATCGCTATCCTCAACTGCATTGCTCAGATTATCAGATGTAAGAATGAAAGACTGCTCAAACCATTAAAAAGAATAAGAAAATAATTCCTCAATAAAACATTAGAGATAATACAGATTTTCACTAGTGAAGATAGTAGGAGTTCACCATTGTAATTCCATTGCGTATTGTTACCTTCAAAGCAGTTGCTGGGCTTTGGTTTTTAAGGCCACTGCAGATCTGGAGCAAGCAGAGTGGCTCCAGGGTAAGTGAAAAAGCAAAGTAAAAAATCCAAAATATAAATAAATTAAAGTAAAATAAAAGAGAGATGATAGGAAACAGGGAGGCAGACTTTTGGGAAATGGGGAGGGAGATCATGGGAAGGGGTAAGGAGGAACATAAGGAAGGGAATTAAAAGGTTCAAAAATGATTAACATATATGCATGTAGCAATTTCCCCAGGACGAAGGTAACTATTATGTATTGCATATGTACACTAAAAAAACAAAAACAGAAAAGCAACAAAGCTCACATTCTAAAGTAGACTCAGCCATTACAAAACAATAAATAAACACTTCTTGGATTGTTGCATATCCTCAGTTAATTTTTAAAGTTCAGAAAGTTTTGTTTTGATAATTTTTTGCTAGTGTTTTCTGCTTCTGTAGAGGAGGGATCTTTTGGAGATCTGTACCCAGCTTTCCATAAACTAACCTA